GTAAGCCTTCAGGTCCAGGCTGATTGGTTTTTCCGTTATCCACAAGCAGCAACTATGTTTGCTGTGTGATTGGAACCTGCTCTATTGCATACATGTATACATTTTTCTATGCAGCAATACGCAAAAATATTGATAGATGTACATAACGTACAGAAATAATTTGAAACAAAATCTAACAAAAGTAGGTAAAAATATGCCCGACACGATTTCTCTCCGGGTATGCTCTGGAGCGCAGCTGAAATGGTGTCATGATGGCATAATACCGATTGTACAAGTTAATAGACCCCCTAATGTAAACGGTTCACAAAAAGACGATTCTAATTGATTTCCACAAGACTTACGTCTGAAGTTGTAGCTACGTGTAATTCTGGTGTTTCCGTTATTGCATGACATAACGGCAAGGAGTCCGTTTCACAGTGGGGTTCCCAATGTTCCTCTATATGACTACAGAAATTGCAAATGGGGATGACCTATTACATGTTTTCTTAGGGTATTCTGTAATGATCCGAACTCATCGGAGCTGCTGCAGTCAATAGTAGAAACATTAATGAAACACAGGTTAAAAATGTTCGTTGGTATATGTGTTAAAACAAGTCTTGGAGTCATGGCCTCTGCGGGTGGTCAGGAGGCTGAGGAACTCTGATTCTGCCCATCAGATATGACCCTTCAAATGGAATTCTACCGTGGACCACCTGCTCTGCACTTATCACTTTCCTGTTAGTTATTTTGAAGGGTCAGATAACGCATACATACAAACCCAATTTCATCGAATAGCTCCTCCTTAACACTAATTGCTGTAGAAAATAGAAGGTTATGCACTAAACCTGTCTTCTTATTTTCAAGGAACAAGTCTATTCCAATTTGTCAATATATCAACATTTTTAGTGCTTAAACGGGTGTCATTTAATGTCTTAATCTAATATCTTTAGATGATTGCAATAGAACATCCTTTTTATTGTCTATTTTTTGATTTAGGCAAGACAATATATCACGTCTGCACTCAAGAGACGACAT